TAGGGCCCAGTCAATCGGTTCTAGCCTCTAGGGCCTTCTAGGGTAGCAAGTACTCTGCACAGATATGGCAATGCTTTTTACTCATTGGGAACTGTGCAGCAGATGGGTGTGACAACTGTCAATGTCTGTCATAGTTGCCACACCCCTTGGGAATGTTGGTGGTGGTGTGCACTGTGCATAGCCAATTTTGAAAATATAGCGATGTAAGAACAGTGACTTGAGCTCTTCTAGCCCTTATTGGAGAGCCCTGATTATTTCATAGTATCTTGATTTTGTGCTGGAGGTGGCCGTGAGCCGGATTGCTCGTCCTCGGAATAGGAGTGTGCACTGTGCACTGTGCAGTTCCTTTGCAAATGACTAAGGGAGGCAGACAACCGCTAAAAAGGAATAAAACCATCATCATCATCATCATCATTATCATCATCTACACAGTTTCTACAGGAGTTGCAGCCACAACTTCAGATTTAAAAAAGCACCCAAGGCAGAAAGCCAGTAAAGAAAATGGCACAACAAGAGAGAGAGAGAGAGAGAGAGAGAGAGAGAGAGAGAGAGAGAGAGAGAGAGAGGCCAGAGAGTGGAAATGTGAAAGTTTGTCGTTTTGTTGCTCCTGTTGGAGGCCATAGCCGCCGAGCCAGATGTATATAAACTCACTCACATGCGACAGTGATTTCCAGATAATGAGTTCTGATATCGGGTGGCTCATGCACGAACGAAGTGCAGTGTGCAACAGTGCAACTCGGCATGAGCATGAGACATCAGTTTGATGGTTGGAGTTCGGATGCATTGCAATGTGGTATCAGACCGAAATCTGGTTGTCCACTCTGCTTGGAGGAAGCTGGTTAGCACATGAAGATGATGAAGTAGAATCAATGACCAGGGTGGAATAGGTCCACTGGTGAGGGGCAGTATTCAGCGGAGCTTGGCCAGGCTGCTTGAGCCTTGTGGGTCTCTCTCTCTCTCTCTCTCTCTCTCTCTCTCTCTCTCTCTCTCTCTCTCTCTCTCTCTCTCTCTCTCTCTCTCTCTCTCTCTCTCTC